GTTTTCCTTTTCTGTTGGTTCACCTCTCAATGGCCACTGTAGCCAGTGCACCACGCTGATCCGAAGCTGGGTGCCAGGTGCTTCTCCTGGTCTCCCACGTGGGTGCAGGGACCAAGCACTTGGGCCATCAAGAGTAGGCTTTCTAATTATACCCATAAGCTTTCAGTTTTTTAAGATTTATTTATTTACATGAAAGTCGAGTTACACAGAGGAAAGAGAGAGAGAGAGGTCTTCCATCCACTAGTTCACTCCCCAATTGACTGCAACTTCTGGATTCGTTCCCATCTAAAACCAGGAGCCAGGAGCTTCTTCCAGGTCTTCTACACAGGTGCAGGGGCCCAAGGACTTGGGCCATCTTCTACTGCTTTCCCAGGCCATAGCAGAGAGCTGGATCAGAAGTGGAGCAGCTGGTTCTTGAACCAGTGCCCATATGGGATGCCAACACTTCAGGCCAGAGCGTTAACCTGCTGTGCCACAGCACCAGCCTCCCCCATAAGCTTTCTAATTATACTCACATTCCGTTTCTCAGGATGCAAGTAGATATGCATATTACTAATTTGACTTTATATTTTCTTGTCTGTATTTGCTTACTGTATCAGTCTGGGTTCTTATAGAGGAATTTGCATATATATACACATATACATATATATACATATATATATATAATCTCCTTTATTTAGATGATGGTAGATGTTAATCACATCTACAATATGTCTACCCAGCAACATCAATAACAGTGTTTGGCCAAACAGCACAACAGCCCAACTCATTTGACTGAGTTAATATTTACAATAGGATCCTTATCAATCCTGAATTCAAAACATCTCCTTAAAACAAATGTATATCCCAGATAAATAACTGTCCTACTTCCATGTCAAATAACACAAAAATACTTAGAACCAAAAATGCACAATCTCCCTAGAAGAGAATGCACATTCCTTGCATAAACAGTCACCCTTCTTGATATCTTGTAGCTAAATTTTTTAGGATTTAAAGTTAAAAAGTCTGAGGCAAACTGTAATATGATAACATAATAAAAGAGAGCAGTATTTGAAGCACAGAAATATTTACATAAACATTCATAACAATAATGAAGAAATATTCAAAGAACACCACCCTAGGATCCAGCTCCCACTACCATGGCTGGAAGCCAGATGACCCTATGGCCCAACCACTGGTGTCAGCTTCACCCCCATCCTAATGGGATTTGCCGCTCAATACTTCCCTGCCCACCCCCAAGTAAGGTTTTAAGTGGTTGAATATGCATTGTCACACTTAATTTTCACAACAACCATAAGAGTCTGTTTTCATCTACATTTTATATATGTGGACTTCAGGCTTAAAGACATTGCAATGGTGGCCAATGTCATACAACTCAAAGCCTAGAACTCTCACAGCCTGGATTCAGTCAGTCCATTTGTTCGCATAGCTCACACACATCATCATCCACTCTTTCCTTAAATGCAGACATCAACACAGGATTGCTCATTTCCTTGTGTTGTTATGGCATCACATTCTGAAATATTTATTTGTCTGGTAGGTGAAGCAGGGAACAATGACAAAACAGAATATTTTTTTTTTTTTTTTTTTTTTTGACAGGCAGAGTGGACAGTGAGAGAGAGAGACAGAGAGAAAGGTCTTCCTTTGCCGTTGGTTCACCCTCCAATGGCCGCCGCGGCTGGCGCGCTGCAGCCGGTGCACCATGCTGATCCGATGGCAGGAGCCAGGTACTTATCCTGGTCTCCCATGGGGTGCAGGGCCCAAGGACTTGGCCATCAACTTGTCACTGTTCGAGCGGTCACTAACTGCTTCTGAGCAATACAATCCTGTGTAAAATATAAGGTCCTGGGTCCCTGACCCAGGAAACACTGGGGGAAGGGAAAGTATTTCTGTTCTCATGGTCACTACCCAGTGGACATGCAAATCCTATGCTCAATCTGATACCAATTGTTTTTATTAAGTTATTTAAACATATGATACCTACTATTTTACACAAACAAAAGTCCACATACAAACATACCCTAAATATAAAATTGTCACTACAGAAAAAATGACCACTCTCAGAGCTAAACCTTTAAGGACAAAATGAACAGATTTTGGTTTAATACAAGTTTATGATGAAGGTAAAAAAGACTGCACAGAGGCATAAGGAAAGTTAGCCAACTTTGGACAACAGTTAACCCTCTGCCCTCTGTAGCTTTCCTTTCCTTTACCTTTTAGTCACTGTGAACTGCCAGCCATGAATACCTCACACAGTTGTCATGGATTAGAGATGTGTAAGTCCTCAGAAAACCATAAGGCATTGTATAAGCATTTATCAAATAGTGCTCTAGTCAATACTGAGATCTCAAAGACTGTGATAGGTGTCCTGCAGGGGAAATAATAGGTTCCACATGCTGGCCCTTATCTGAGCTTTACAAGCTTCACTATGTATTAAAGGTGTTCAGGACTTTGTAAACTGATGATTCTGAGCCCTTTTTTTTTTTAATGAATATTACCTCATATTATTTTGGTGCGTTTAGTATTCTCCAGAATATGACTTTGGGAAAAATGAACTATGCAAATAAACACTACTACTGAACCCAGGCTACCTGAAAGTGACATAAGCCTAGCCACCAATGGTCTTCTTGTCTCACATATTATCACTGTCTCTACCGCATGAAGGGACAGGATTAGTACTATACCTTCTACCTCACTATGTGTACCAATTAATAATTAAATAATTAATAATAATTAAAACTGGACTGTGACAGTTTCTGCCTGGATCCTGCCCAGTTAGAGGCACATCTCTGGGGATGCTGGGACCAGCAAGTAACACCACAGTTACCAAGTGGCTATACACTATTGACCACATCTGAAGCAGAGGCAAATTGGACATCTACATGCCAAAAACTGAAATATAATATCTTTATATTATGTCAGGCATGAAAGTCAACTCAAAATGAATTGAAGGCTTACATGAAAGGTCTGAGAATATAAACCCCTTACAAATGGAAGAAGATTCATTGATATTAGTCTCACAATGATTGTTTAGATATGACACTAAAAGCACAAGTGAAAAAGCAAAGGCTGCAAGAAATCTAAGAAATATTCTTCATACGCTAGGAAAAACAGAACAGATAAAGCAAGGAATGGAAGAAAGTATTGGAAAGCCTGAGTTTGAACACAGACAATTCAAAAGCAAATATTGTAATAAAAATCACACAAAGGATTGATCAGTTTTCAATTGAATATACAAAAGTAGCCAACAGGTAACTGAGAGGGGGCTCAAAAACTGCTAACGAAGACTACAATGCTAATCAAGACCACAATGGTTACCATCTCATATATGTTAAAATGATTATTATCCAAAAATAAAAAGATAACATTGGACCAGGGATGAAAAAAAGGAATATAAAAATTGTTGGATAGAAAGTAAATTGATACATCCAATATAGAAAACACTGTGTAGGTCTTCAATCAAAATTAAACATAGAACATATGACAAAGCAATCCCACTATTGCCTATGTATACAAAGGAGATAAAATCAGTACCTCAAAGAGACACATATCTCCACATTAATGGCAGCATTATTTACAAGAAAAATATATGGAAACAACCCCATTGTCAACAGATGAGTAAAGAAAATGTGATACACACACACACACACACACAGGAATTACAGTCAACCTTAAAAAGGAAATTCTTCCATTTTGTCAGAACAAGGATCCAAAAATATGAATGTGGACATTAGGCTATTTGAAATAATGCACAGAAAAATAAATGCCACACAATGTCACTCATATGTGTCATCTAAGAAAGTCACACTTAATCACAAAACAGAATGGTGGTTATCATGGGCTGAAAGTGAGGACATGGGAAAATGTTAGCAGAACACACATTTGAAGCTATGAGATAAATTAACACCTCAAGACCTTAATATTCAACACAGTAACTAGATGATTATATCACAGATTCACAACTTGCTAATATCTTACATATGCTTTAATAACATAGGGGTGTAAGGTGATCGATATGTTAGATTGTCCTAATCATTTCATAATATATATGCACAAAAGGATTCCAGAAAGCTTATGAAAAACGTAATCAAACGATAATGTGAATTGTCCATAATTTTTAAGGTCCCCTCATATAGCAAAACATACCTTGAATTCGCACAAATTGTGTCAATCATACTCTGACAATCTTGAAAAAACAAAACAAGCAAAAAAACCTCCAATATTAAAATAAAAATTCAAAATAACTTGGTAAACTAGACATATATTCAGGATTAGGAAGGCTTTCATGGAACAGAAATCATTTTTAAATACACACAAATTTGAGTAGCCAAATTTTCTATTTTGAAAGTGCAAATATAGATGGCATCTGTTAGGAGGAAGTGTAAGGGCTAAGATGACACCCAAGTACCGAATTACAGGGGCCTCCTGCCCCTCTAAAACCTGGGTAAAAACTCTGAGCCAAATAAAACTTCGGTTTCTACCTTACTCAATCTATGTTACTGTGTTACTGCAAACAGAAAACAGAGTGAGACATCCCAGAAACAGCTACGTGAAGAAGTCAGTGCCCTGGAAGAGACCCTGCGGCCCACATATTTAGAAATCTAGGGGGACCAAGTGCCCGCGGGGAAGGGAGGAGGAATCCACAGCGCCTGTCCCGCGGGGAAGGGAGGAGGAACCCACAGCGCCTATGCATGAACCGCACACACAGCGCCCGCGTTCTCCCTAGTGAACACCCCGTCCCCGCTGCACAATCGGGGAGACGCGGAGCTGCCGCCACACAGCTGCCCGCTATGGCTCCGGGGCCAAGAAGTCTCTGAGGGCAGAGAAGCGGCAAGACCTCGGGGGTCCTGGGTGCCGGCAGAGCCCCCACCCCACGGGTCTGGGGGACCGAGGGAAGGCCTGTGCCAGCGCCAACATGGAGTCCACGGTGGCAGGGCCCGAGTCCTCCCGCCCTGCGGCTCCGTGTTCCCCTTTCGGGACCCCCAGGCCCACACACTCACCGTGTCGCGGTGTCCGGCTCCCCAGGTGCCCAGCGTCCCCGGGGAGCGAAGGTGGAGAGAGGCAGAGCCCGACTTCACTTGGCCGACTCACGGCAGCTGAGCTGCCTCCCCAGACCTCACTCGCGGGAACGCTAAGACGACTGTGACGTCAAGGCCCCGAGTGCTGACGCAGCGTGGACGGCACCGTGCCTGATTGGGCAGTTTGCCGGCCTGGCATGCACGCAACGTCACAGAGGACAGAGCCAATCAGCATCCCCCACAGCAGGACCCCTGACTTCAGGTTGTCTTGGATGGGAACAGGAGGGTCAGGCCTGGGTTCAGGTCTGAAGTGGCCGCACCTGGGCGCGCACCTCTGAGCTCCTGCCACCCGTGGCCTCGCCCTGGGTCCCCGTCCTTCTCCCTGGGGATCCTGCCTGGCGCTGGCCGACCCGCTTCAGTGAGTACACCTGCTCATAGTGCTACTTATAATGCATTGTCTTAAAAACTTGAGAAACACAGTGAGAAACATCGCTAATTCCTAAATCTGTATATATGAAATACATGGAATTTGGTTACCTTAAATATAATAAAAAATGTATAAAGAAAGGGAGATCATTTTATCTTGAGAAACCATGAATGAAAAGCTAGGAGGAGCAGGTGTGTGTGTGTGTGTGTGTGTGTGTGTGCATGTACACATATGTAAGTCCTAGGAGATCTATGCCTTCTTTTCAAGCTTTAGGTCCTCCCTCTTAATCAGATTTGAGTGTCACTTCCAAAAGTTCTGCACATATATTTCTTCACCCCCATCCTATTTAAAAAGTTAAGTCAGGCTTATCAAGAAAGAAGAATGGTAAATCAGTGACAGTGTTGGCCTGAGCCAGCTATGCTAGTAATGGGGCAGGTCTACCATGATTCCATGGCCCTCACTAGTCCTTTATTTTCCAAAATAGAAAGGATTTCAAGTTAAATTACTCCGGATGCTGGAAGAAATAACGTCCTATAATTTCAAAGGTCTGGGTCAGATGTCTATGTCTGTTCTTCTACCACCAGGCAGGTGCTTCCAGTAGAAACAGATGTGAGGTGTAATTATAAATTTTCTAGTAGTCATATTAAAAAAGAAAAAATAAGGAGGTAAAGTTACTCTAATGCCATTTTCTTCAGCCAAATAAAATATAAAAATGTATTTCAACTTATTATAAAAATTATTTGCGAGGAATTTTAAATTATTATTTCCACTCTGTTGTGAGCCTCACATTGACAGCACTTCTTGGTTAATGTTAGCTGCATTTTAGGCACTGGGTAGCAATAAGTGCACTCAACATTGCAACTCTAAATCATCCAAGACAGTTTTGTCAGAGGAAATCCACGTGTTTATTTTTTTCTTTTATGATTTTGTAAGGACATTTATATAAGATACATACTTATCATTCTTATTGTTTCAAAACATTTTTATAAGGCAGTGTTCTCATTTTGTGTATATCATTTGCTTCTAGTGTGAGTACACTCTTTCATAAGTGGTGTTCAATCTGTAACACTCCAGATACCTTTACCTTTTCATGTATGACCCTTACAAGGACTCTCAGAGAACTATAGCAAGGAGTCATATCTATATCTATATCTGTACATATATTTATATATATCTATATATATATCTTGCTGAGTGAATCTCTACTATAATCTGCTATAATGTAAATAAATCTTTTTATATAAATGTATATATGTACTTCTTAGTACTACCAAGGACAGATGAAATGTTATTTTCATTAAGCAGTGAAAGAGTTATTTTATATGCTATTTGGTTTGGAATTTCAAGGTAGATGTGTACAGAGGCAGCATAAAAGTGTTCCCAGATAAGAAGAGTGGAATTGAGCAAGCATAATGTCATAAATGGAAAATACAGAACAAAATATATGAAGTTTATTAAGAGAAATTAAACGTAAACTTAAATCCCTACAAGAATGCCCAGTTGCTAGTGAATTTGAGCTCTATTTTATAAATTGAGGAATTCTCTCAGTAGTTTAAGCAAGGCAGAAGGAGAGTTATAGCTGTTTGTTGAAGAATTAAATTTATACCACTATAAATCAAATAAGGAGGTTTAAGAGTTCTGAGAAGACTGCATGCCTTATAGATTAGGCACACTGTCCAAAGTGTAATAAGTAATTTTGCAGTTGATACAATGAAGAAAAACCAGAAAAATAAGAACAGAGACCTGCATTCTCTGGGGTAAACCAGGTTATACTAAATAAAAGATTCAAATGTGTGATAGCTCAATGTAGGAAGTTTGTTTCTCACCCATATAAAATGGACCAAGAATATTCTAGGGGGTTAGGTGGTGTATTGGGGCCATTTAAAAATATTCAGTCTTCTGTAGTAATGCCTTTCCAGTAGGCTCCCAAAATCATCCCAGAGGCTCTTCTCCAGTCAGCCAGTACTGAAGAAATCATGTATAACTATTTAATGCCTCAAAGCTGGAACTTTGCTAATATTCCTTGATTAGAATTTTGTCTAACAATATAACAATTATAAGGGAACCTGGGAAATAGGATCTAACTGTGTCTCAGAAGAAGAAAAAATATTTTGACAAATGTTTAAAAGTCTTGGCCACAAAGGTCATGGAGAGAAACTTGAGTAATTCCAACTCTTTGGATAAGGAGAAAGGAGGAAAACCATCATAATAAAACTATAATGAACACTGACTAACTTCTCATCTCATGCAAAGAATTGTGCTTTTTGCATTTCACATTTAAATATCATTGTCATTTTTGAGGGAGGTAAACCTATTTTTATAATTTTTATTTATGATTTTTGAGCATATGAGAGAGGCCCTAATATGAATGTATTTTAAGACATAGATTCTAAGGCTCATTATTAACATGCAAGAAACATGAAGAAAAGCAATATTTATCATTCATTTATCTACTTCATCTACTATTTATCTACTTCATCTACTATTCATTTATCTACTTCATGCTTCTCTAGTACCACTTGGGTTAGGTGCATTCATGTAGACTTCAGGACGCACAAGACTACCCTCACTTCTAGCATCAACTACAAGTTTAGGAATATCCAGGATTACACTCAGGTTCAATAATATACCAGCAAGACTCATAGAACTTACTGAAAGTTGTTGTACTCACATTTGTGGTCTATCACACTCCTCTCCCAGTGGAGTGGTAGAGGGCAAACTAATTTCCCCAGAAATCATATGTGGCCATTCACATGGTATGCTGCCAACCAGGGAAGCTCATCTGTGCCTCAGTGTCCAGGGTTTTATCTGGGGGCAGGTCATATCACAGAGCTGACTGCCTACATGGTTGCTCTTAGCCTCTCACTATTCTGGAGATAAAGCTGATATCCTGTAGCCCAAGGCTACCAAGTAAAGAAAATATTGTTATCATGCAGGAAATTCCAAGTACCTAGAAAGTGCTTTCTTGGAGCTCAAGGCAATGGCTGGACCTCTCCATAGGTTATTTTACTTCTTTACTTGGTTTTTTTGAACATCAGACAAGGCAGGCGTGCCAGACATGCGTGTGTTGGGGGGTAAATGTAGTCTAGCAAAAGGTTATGCTTCATCTTTTCCTTGCATGCATCTTTAAAGACTGCATTTCTTCCTAATTTTAAAAGACTACCACATATTTATTAGGCTCCCACATTTCTCAGGGTTTATTCCTTTGTACTTGTTGGACTAGGGGATATCGTGATGTTCAATCGTTCATTTATTTAGTGGTTTTTATTCTTCCATATTTTAGTTCCCCAAATTTGTTCATCATCTGCTATTTGCAAAGGAACTAAATTAGGTAGGTGCTGGACATTTGTTTATCTAATGGATATTAGGATCTAGTATAAAGGGAAAATAACCATGCCAATGTATGAATAACTGCCAACTTGGATAAATGATGAGAAGTGTATATGATATTGTGGGAGAAACCAGCAAATAAATTGATGTAGATTTCTGGCTTAGTGTGTACTTCTTAGAGAAAGTGACACTTGACTTGGTGATCAAATGTGAATAAAAATGAACCATTTAGAGATAGATTGGAGTTATATCGAGTTGGGGTAAGGACATAATAATAATATTCAGTGAACCATCTTTAATGTGGGGACATTTGAACAGGCCTGAATGAAGTTAGGATTGCACAATGTTGGTATCCAGTGGAAGTAAGGTTTAGGCAAAGGACTGGTAAGTACAGTGGAATTGGAGCAATAGCTTCCTTAGGCTGATTGAGAAGTGTCAAAGAGACCAGGTCAACTGTAAGGTAATTAATGAGTGTAACAGAAGATGAGGGAAAGGAGATGGGACATGACTTAGAAAAAGAACTTAGAGATACACTCAGTGACTAAATAAATAAGGATTTAAGATTCTCCCAATGGCCTGAAAGCCACTGAAGAATTTTGAGGAGAGTGACTTGACTATATCTACACTTTAATGTAATTACTTTGGTTACTATTTGGAAAATGGATCATAGGTTGTCAAGAATGTAGCAGGGGCACAAGTTGGGAGAATATGATGATATTAGAAGCCATACAGAATGGGGAAAGTAGAGGTGATGAGAACTAATTGGGTTTCATAAGCATTTTGAATCTGGAATAAATCCGATTAGGTGACACATAGGTATGATAAAGAGAATGGCTTGTCTGTGTGTCTAGAATTACTTCAATGTCTTTATGCATTAAGAAAGGAAAACCATTCGCTGAAAATTAAGAAAGAAGATTAGAGTAGGAGTAAATCTAGGGAGGAAATGCAGAGTTCAGTTTTAAGATGATTATTAGATATTCCAGGGCAAATGTTGAGAGAACAGATTTTATTACTTGCTTTTTAATGATATAATTTATTTGAGAAGGAAGCTTCCATCTACTGGTTCACTTCCCAAATGACTGCAAAGGCTCAGGTCAGGTCAGGCAAATCTAGAAGCTTAGATCTCAAAATGGCTCTAATGTGTGAATATAGTGACCCAAGCACTAGGGCCATTTTCTGCTTTTCCAGCACATTAGCAAGGATCTGGATCAGGAGTAAAGTATCTAAGGCTTGAACCAGTGCCCAGATTTTGGCCCTGAGAGGACATTTTTGTGACTCTGGTGTTCAAAGAATAGTTTCATATTGTATAAATAATTTATGGGCAATATGTAATGGATTCAAAAGACATGAGAACCAAATGCAATGCCCTAAGGACACAATGCAAATGGAGGTAAAGATCTGAGTATTCAGCTATGAAACATTCTAATACCTAGAGTTTGGTACAGAATGTCCTACAAAGCAAAGAGCTGCAGTTGAGGTTTAAGAAAGCAAGGAAATTATAGTGTTTCTGGGACCAGGGAAGAGAGTATTCCTAGAAGTGCTCATCATCTGTCGAAGCTGCTCATATACTCTGTGAGTAAGATCCCAGCGGAAAGAACAGGCCATCAAAGAAGGAGGTACCTTTCTCTGAAGGGAGGCGAGAACTTCCACTTTGAGTATGG